TTAATGTATTAAATATTTTAGTTATATTATCATTAAATTAATCATTTTTAAGTGTTTGATGAGTGCCTAAAAAATAATCAAATTTTCTATTCAATGTCGGGATTTCCTTAGGACGAATTTCTTAATCCCGCGATTGAAAATTTCTGTGATTTTTGCCATCCTTATCCCAAAGAAATTTGAGATAAAATCTTTAATTAGTAGGAAAAACTTTGTTCCTTCTATTTCTTATCCGGTTCGTTCAGTCCACTTTACAGGAGGAAAAAAGACTTATATGAACAACTGTCTATCTTTACTGCCAAAACAAGTTAAAGACAACATAAAAAAACCAAGAATTACAATAAATAGTTCTATTGGATATAAAAGAAAAATAGACGAAATTGAAAACGAAAAAAATGATGTTAAATTTTCATTTGAAGAAACCGAGCCTGAAAAGTTAAAAAAATAAATTATTATCCTAAAGGACAAACTGAACATTATAAAAACTAAAAAGAAAAAAATGAAAAATATTATTATGAACCAAAATCACACTATCAATCAAAATTTACAGTTGACAGATTTAAACATAATCAAGCCCACTTTAAATTTTATACTAGCTTTGAATCATACAATCTATTTAAAGTTCTATTAGAATATTTAGAACCTGCTACAAGCAAACCTATATATTGGGGTCAAATACAAACATTAAAAAAAAAACAGATTTTAATTACAATAAAAAGAGAAGAGGACGCATAATGAGTTCAGAGTCTTAATTATTTTTAGTTTTAACAAGATTTCAACTTGGCATTTTGGTTGAAGACATGGCGCTGCACTTTGACATATCCTCAAGTCATGTTAGTAAAATCATAGTGACATGGACTGATTTTTTGCATTCTCAAATGTGTATGCTACCTATTTGGGCAACAAAGCAAACTGTAAAAGAAATAATCCCAAAATGTTTTAAAGAAAATTATTAATCAACAAATGTAATTTTAGACTGCACTGAAGTATTTATTGAAATGCCTACATCTTTTCGAAGCCAGTCTGCAACTTTTTTAATTATAAACATAAAAATATAGGAATTAATTGAAATAGCACCAAATGGAGCCATAACTTTTGCTTTTGATTAAAACTGTGGTTGTTTTTTGGACAAACAAATTACTAAAGATTGAAGCACATCCAACCTGTTGAACCAGGAGACAGTGTATTGACAGATAGAGGTTTTGATATTGCTGAGGACTTAGTGAAAAACGTTTCATTAAATATACTACCATTTCTATATGGAAAAGCTCAATATTTTCTAGAAGATGAGAATGAAACTAGAAAAATTGTTGCTGTTCGTATTCATGTAGAAAGAGCAATACTGTAAATAAAAAGTTATCACATTTTCCAAACACCATTTAAATTGTCTATGGCGCCAGAAATTAATAAAACTTGGATAGTTTGTTGTTATTTAGCAAACTTTTCTTGTTTCAGATAAATAAAATGTTTGTAAAAAATATAAAACCTTTTTATCTAAACTGCAACTATATTTTTTTGCATAAACTCAAAGTAAAATTTAGTTAATTTTGGTAAAGTAGTTTTTTCCCATTTCTCTTTAAGAAATTTAATACTCTCAATAAAAACATCTTTTTTAGTATAAACTATAAAATCTAGTTCTTTGATCTCTAATAATGGCATAACACCTTGACATTGATAAAAAATAAACATGTTTTTGTTTAAGCATTTTTTTGCCATCAACAACAGGAAGAAAAAATGTTTTATCTAGGCAAGCTTCAGCTATAGTTAAATCTTTTTTTGAATAAGGACATTGATTTCAATAGCCCTTATTTTTTCATTTACTAATACAATTCCATCAGGGCTTGTACCACTTTGGGTTAATTATAAATCTGCATCTCGTTACTGATACATTTTTTATATTTTCTTACTTTTTTATTGCAGTGTTTTCATATATTTTACCCCAATTACAAGCTTTGTTCCAAAAGTTATTTTTATTGTTTTTTAAAATTCTATTCAAAATAGAGACAGGAAATATACTTTTTTGTCTATTAATAACAAAACCAAAGTTTGAAGATGTCAAGCGTTTTTTTCTTTCTCTAAGCCATAATCTTGTAGATTGTGATAAAGTAGCTCTTTCCAAAGTCTTTATTTTCTCTTTTGATAGAACTAAATATACATTAATTGAGTTTCATCAAGTTCAAGTGAGTCTCTGAATTCTACTTCAAATCCATTAATTATGGTATCAACAAGATTAAATATAATATCAGAATTTAAATTGAGTTTTTTACTTTTAGCTGATATTCACATATTGATGTTTCATAGTAGGACGTGGAATGATAATTGTTTCCTTTTAAAAGATTTGCAAATGCTATTCTCCCAGATTATATAAACTCAGACAGTTTTTTAATTTTTTTATTGCTTGGATTATGTGCAAAAATTTGGGTCGTTCAAAAGTTTCTATTTCCTAATACAAAAGGACGCTTTTATGAGTTGTTTAGATCCTTTTCTAAATCACTCTTTTCAAAGGAAACTTTAGAAAGCTTAATTGGTT